TATGATATAATAGGCATAACAGAAACATGGTGGGATGATTAACGACTGGACAGTTAACTTAAATGGGTACACATTATTTAGGAAGGATAGGAAAAACAAGAAGGGTGGTGGGGTATGTTTGTACGTCAACCATGAGTTAAAGTCAAATCTTAGGCATGTGGAGTGTGATGAGGAAAATGTGGAAGCTTTATGGGTAGATATCTGCTTGGGGCAAATGAAGGGAAATCAATTATTGGTTGGGATATGTTATAAACCACCTAATGTAAATATTAAAGAGGAAGAACAGCGGTTAGAGCAAATTGGGAAAGCTGCGGGGTAACATGTTAATTATTGGAGATTTTAATAACCTGGACATAAATTGGGATAAAGTGACTTGTACTTCAGCAAGGGGAATCAGGTTTTTGAATGTGTTAAATGACACCTTTGTGTCACAACTGGTACAAGCACCAACTAGAAAGGATGCTTGTCTGAATCTGGTTATAATAAACAATGTTGATCTTTTGACCAACATTCAAGTAGAGGCGCATTTGGGAATTAGTGATCACAATATGGTAATTTTTGAAATAAACAAAAAAGCAAAAGCATGTGTGGTATATTAAACCGTATTATTTAAAAAAAGCCAATTTCAATAAGATTAGGGCAGCTCTAAAACATATCGACTGGCATAAACTCCCTAGTGGAAAAAAAAGATAAATGGAAACTATTCAAACAAATATTAGAAAGGTACATTTCTCAGTATGTACCATTGGGTAATAAATATAAAAGAAACAAACTGAAACCAAGTAGAGAAGTAAAACAGATTAAAAATAAGAACATCATATGCATCCGATATAAGATATAAGGAAGCCAATAATGCTTGCCAAAAAGGCAATTAAAGTGGCTTAGCTAAAAAATGAGAAATTGATAGCCAAAGAATGCAAAACCAGCCCCCAAATTTTTTTTAAGTACATCAACTCTAAAAAAACTAAAAAATTAAAGTGTAGGTAACACTGGAAACAGAGCTGTTCGCTAATGAAGACCAGGAAAAGGAAGAAATTTGAAATAACTATTTTTCTTCAATGTATATTAATGAGGATCCTATGGCAAGAGATATGCAAATGATTGCTGCAAAAAACTTGCAGACAACTTGTGACTGGATGACTCGAGACAAGGTACTACAGCTGTTAAAGAAAATTAATGTAAATAAAGCTCCGGGGCCTGGCGGTATTCACCCATGAGTACTTAAGGAGCTAAGTGGGGAAATAAGTGAACCTCTGTATTTAATTTTTCAAGATTCTTTTGTTTCAGGTATTGTACCAGAGGATTGGAGGAAGGCAGATGTTGTTCCTACATTTAAAAAGGGTTAAAAATCCTTGCCTGGACATTATAGACCTGTCAGCTTAACGTCTATGACTGGAAAAATATTTGAAGGGCTATTACGGGATAATATTCAGGAATTCATTGGGAAGAACTGTGTTATTAGCAATAATCAGCATGGTTTTGTGAAACATAGGTCATGCCAAACTAACCTAATTGCATTCTACAAAGAAGTAAGTAGAAATAAAGATTGGGGTGTTGCAGTGGATGTGATCTACTTGGATTTTGCCACGGTACCTCACAATAGGTTAGTCTTCAAACTAAAAGAAATTGGTCTAGATAAATATTCTTGTGTATAACATTGGTTTAAGGATAGAGTACAACGAGTTGTCATTAATGGTAAATTTTCAGGCTGGACAAAAGTGGTAAGTGGTGTACCTCAGGGTTCTGTTTTGGGACAGCTTCTATTTAATATATTTATAATGATCTTGAAATAGGCATTGAAAGCCATGTTTCCGTGTTTGCAGATGACACAAAACTTTGTAAAGTAATAAAATGTGAGCAGGATATTGCTGTGCTGCAGAGGGATTTGGATATATTGTGGGACTGGGCACTAAAATGGCAGATGAAATTAAATTTAGATTAAAGTTATGCACTTCGGGGTCAAGAATGCACAAGCAACTTACACCCTAAATGGTAGTGAATTAGGGATAACCACACACGAGAAGGATTTGGGAATTTTTATAGACAAATTAGGCAGCAATATGCAATGTCAAGTAAGTCCAGTAAGGTTTTGTCATGTATAAATTGGGTCATAAATTCTTGGGCTGAAAATATAATTCTGACTCTTTATAAATCACTGGTAAGACCACACCTTCACAGAGAAGCATTTTATTGAATTGATCTCCAGGCATATAATTAACATTAGGTGTCAAATGTGCTTGGCTTGTAACAAGAATCCAACACAAAAGTGCAGATAAGCTATATTCACAGATTCCTTGCTCCATAATCCCGTCTAAAAGCAGGCATGGTCATGGAGGCTGAAATAACACTTTAAATTTGAAATTCACTGTGAATTTGCTTTTTTTGTAAATAACCCTGCGTATTTCTTTAGACTTCACAACACACAATTGTTAAACATAGGTGATAAGTAAAAATAATATTAAAAATCAGAAAGCCAACAGAAGACGTACAGAAGCTTCAGTCACTCCAAGCACTTACAATAATTATAGGACAAGGAGCTTCCTGATCTCTCGATTTTGTGTTGCGTATAATTGCAGCAAATTGCATAATAAATGGACACAAAATGTTGCAGCCATAGGCCTACCCACATACTTGGGTATATTTCTTCTCCTCCCTCAAGCTGTCCAACTTCCTACCTTTAAGGAACTACTTCATTTGGCAAAAGGGGCAGATATATGTAGAGTGTATAACATTTATGTGTGTGTGTCGTGCGTGTGTTTTATAAATTGCATTGTTTTTATGTATAGAATAAGAATATAAATCTGTATAACCTTGAAAATCTACTCATGACCCTGAAACTGTGAAAACTATGGATATCCCGGATCAAACCTTGTGAGTTTCAGGTATTGGATAACAATAACAGTTTCTGTCTTGATGAATAATTATAACCATCTTCATTGAACCAACACCATGCTATTGATTAAACTTAAAAAAAAAAAATATATATATAAAAAAATAAAAATACATTTAAAAAAAAAAGAAAAATGCATGAAATCTTTTCATAATCTCATGGAAACCCAAAGAAAGATCTGCCGTGGGCAAAAGCTATAAAATGTGTAACAACCTGCAAAAAGATCACAAATGCGTTAAATGGAAATATGTCAGCATTAGAGATGTGCATGTTCTGATCCGTAGAATACATGCTCCTTGATACCGACTTCAAGGTGACCTTGAGTCTAGTGGATCAAATACATTATTATAAATACAGAACACACTGCTGAATTTCCTTCCTTAGAACTGTATAACATAGGAGAAGCTTTGCTGGGTACAGGATGAGAATATCATTGCTGTTAGCCTTTAATAGGATATGGTCTGGCAGTCAATGGGTTGAGAATTCGGGAAGCAAGATAATTGGTAACAAAGTTTAAATGCCACTGTTAAATTAAACAGAAAACAATAAAATCCCCCCTCCCCCCCAATTTTTTTTAACCAAAAGAGATCAGTTTTGAATATATAAAGGTAAATCTAGTGGTGACATAGATGTTACCAGTGAGACTTTATAATTGGACCAAGTCTGTCCAGAACAAAATGTAACTGATATAACCAGTTGCTAATAAAGATATTCTTCCAAAAACATATACACATTTAAATCCAGGATATACACAGTCATATGCCTTTAGACATGGACCAGTTTCCTTTGATGCTAAGAACATTTAAAAATTACAAATGTTCTAAAAAAAAAAAAATTAAAAAAAATTATACTGAAATTTATCTCTAAAAAGAACTCTATATAAAAGTCGAAATTAAAAAAATAAAAAAATTAAAAAAAATAAAAAAGTCACATCTACCATAGCCAGGGGTTAGGAACATTTCACCAACGATTCACAGTTTTTAAAATTTGCACACATAAGGAGGTTCTATTAAATCCATTTTCAAAAGACATAGCGGCTGCATAGTCCTAGTACCCTCAGTCAGTCTGACAGAGTGATGTACATGTTAATTAAAATGATAGTGGGCCACACTTGCCCATGATCCTCTGATCCACAGTATGATCCTTTAATGAAGTGACTGTCCTAGCGTGTAATGAAAGATACAGAGTAGAGTGACATTTTACTTCTTATTGGAACATTGACCAGGGAGAATATCAGTTTTCAGGGACTACTTGAAATTCTGAGCATCACTGGAACTTAGATCGAGTCTGTTAAAGTAGCTCAATGTATCATTCACATCTCAGAGATTAATCTCTTCCCTTCAAAAGAAGTGCATGTAAGCTTGCTGCATCCCAATACTGCGTGGCCAGCTACTGGAAAATAGACCGCTTTATGGATCAGTGCTTTTCCAATGCTTGCTATGAATTAAAATAAATAAAAAATAATGCACTTGCAGCATTCACTGAGCAGCAAATCGATGGTAGTGTTCCATTTAACTAGTTATAAAAATTCAAAAGTTCCATTTAAATCAATTCCATTTTACTTTTACAGGCTAATACCCCACCAAACACAAACCCCCCACCTCCCAAAGTAAAGGCGTGCGATTTGGTTATCGCTCCAGCTCTGCTAAAAGGGACATTTAGTTATCAGTGTATAAGAAATATCACTGTTTAGTAGATTTAATTATGCATTTTTCCATAGGGACATTTATACAGAGCCTGAAAAAGCAGCAGATCTTGTCTGCTGCCTTTGCAAGCCCTCCCCTTCTAAACCCGCTCAGACTTTCTGTGGCTGTCCAATCACAGACTTCCCAATGCAGCTCAATGAGAGGTCTTTGCAAAACCATGAGATGTCTTTGCTCTTGGCAACTACTTGCCTCTTCAGTTTTGCTCCACTGAGCTATACAAACTAGGAAGTAACAGGACTGATTATCTGATTGACAAGGTCAATTCATAAAAGTGCTAATTTCTATTAAAAACTGCACTTTTAGCAAAATAAAAATAAAAAGGACACACTCATACAGTATAGTAATAGCAGATAAAAGTGAAATATGCTCTTTATCAGTAGAGATGTCGCGAACGGTTCGCCACGAACTCCAGTCAGCTGACACATCCCAGCCAATCTCCGGCAGACCCTCCCTCCCAGACCCTCCTACTTCCTGGACAGCATCCATGTTGAAGGCAGCTTCAACATGGATGCTGTCCAGGAGGAGGGAGGGAGGGTCTGCCGGAGATTGGCCGGGATGTGTCAGCTTACCAGAGTTCGCCACGAACCATTCGCGAGAAGTTCGCAACATCTCTATTTATCAGATCCTTAAAAATGTAATTTAATGTATTCTTTAAATAATCTTAATATGATGGGGGGGAGGCTGAGTTTGTTTTGGCAATATGCATCTATTTTACCCAATGTATTGTAAGTAGATGTAATAAAGGCTTTTAAAGAGACTAATTTATCAGGGTTTTCACATGCAAAAACATCGATTAAGACAAACTTAGATAGTAATTTAGCAATGATTACATTTTAAAGGCCAACTACGGTTTGTGGACGAGGGGGGAAAAATATTTACTTCTTTAGTAGAAATGAAAAAAAATAGAGTACACAAAACAAAACTTGTGTCAAACGCATTAGACTAAAGAAAATAAGTCAGAAGCTGACTTTTTGGATTGGACACAATAGAGCAGTTATTAAAAAAAGCGGCACTGAAAGCACCACAACCACTATGGCTCACTAAACTGTTATTGCGTGAAAAGTTGTTTGAGCAAAATCTGTGCTCCTTCTGTCACCTAAAGCCCATCCTCTGTGCTGCAGCTCTGCTAATAATGAAGTAGACTATCACATTAGTCTTCTAATCAATGATAAACGGTAGGCTGTCAGCGATGCCCTAACAGATTTACTGCATCTGAAAACAAAGATGGCCATGAACGTTGCTTCATCGTTCCGTTCACCTTTTGACCAGTGCTAAATGTGTTCTCGGTAATAATAGAATGTAATAAAAAAATGAAAGTGGCACATCATCCCCCAATACAGCTTTAACTCAATGACATTGTTATGGGGCCTGGAGTCCCTGGATGCCTTCTTACCTTAGAGTGTCAGAAAGTTTTTGAACGGTTTAATCCCAAAGATGTGTCTGAGGCACGCTGGCAGCTGCAAGTAGGAGGGAAAAGGAACTGTGGGCGGGCACCTGACTACACAAACCACTCAAACTGATTTACACAGTGAGGTAAGTGGGACTCAAGTCCTACACTATGGGTGCCCAAAAGTTAGGTCCCCTGATGTTTTAAAACTACAGCTTGCAATGCATCATGGGATTTGTATTTCTACAGCATATGGGGATCTACCTTTATGGCACCCCTGCTTTACACAGGGGTGTAAATTTCTTTTTAGCATATATCTTGAAGAAGTTTGATTTTCAATGTACATAAACCTAATGTAGAAAAAAAACTGAGTAAAAACAAATATGGAGAAAATCTAATTCAGGTAGTGCTAATCAAAATTATTTATTGCAGATGAGTAGGCCTCTTGTAGATGTGGAAATAAATATTTTTATTTACTAATTTAGCTCAAATGGCAATTTGAAAGACAGCAATAATTCTGTTAAAGCTAGCACAAACAAAATGGGGGAAAAAAAACATAACAAAACAATCTTATTGCTTTAGGGCACTCTCGAGATAGATGTACGATTATAGACAATATAAATCTGAGGTGCTCTGACAGTCAATAAAAGACAATTCACTTTGGTCAATCAAAACTCTTATTTCAAAGTACGATGTTGGTGAGCTGCTTCCAACGATGGAAAAAAGCATTCTTCAATAGATTTTCAATAAAGTTTCTTACTTACACTATTCTACAGCCATTAACCCCCTTTTAGAGGGCAGTAGGACACTAAACAAAAGGAATAGTCACTGAAAGAGTTAAAGAGAAGGAATACATCCTTTAGTCTGTAAGATCTTAAGAGTGAGAATCTCACCACCACCCTTTGATACTCAATATCCAACTTGTCCTGTTGAAATTGTTAGCTTCTTTGTTCATCCATGTTGGTTACTTTATAAATAACAGTGATGATAATATAAACTACTTGCAGTGATAGTTCCTCACTTGCTGACCTCTGTAATGGCTATTACAGAGGATCATGGGACATCTTGAACTTGCGCTAGTAGCCAGACTGTGAATGTGCAACCTTGCATTTGATATAAATATATATTTATGAATGACATTTATAATGAATTAAAAAAAAATGGTTTTAAAAGTTAAAATTCTTACATGTTAAAGCAAGTATAGCTATACACATTCACAAAACATGCTTACATCCCTTGGATAATATCTGTATTTGAGTCATTAACTCTTTCAGTAAACACAGTTCTAATCAGTTTATGTGCTGTATTGCAGTTTTAATAAGACATTATGCTTGCTCACTCACAACCACCAAAACAATTTCTAGGAAGTAGAGAAGGATGTAAAAGCATCAGTGCTACTGGAACAGAATACGTACTATTCTTATATCCCCATTGTACAGCACTATGGAATCTGATGACGCTATATAAATAATAAAATAACAATAATAAAAATATTTTATGTCTATCATTTTATTAAAGAGAAATTCTAACGTCAATCAGCATTCTAACACCATAACCATTACATCCCACATTAAAATTATCAAACGGTTTTTGTAGTGATTGGATTAAATGGACACTATAGGTGAAGCCTAATGGGTGATTGCGCCGACGGCGGCAGAGGAGGAGCCCAATCCAGTACAGAGGGGCACAGGCACTGCCAACAGGTAAGTGATTAAAGGGTTTTTTAATACTTTGTGTGGGCGGAGTTGTGGGTGCCCACAGGGCCAGAGGGACACAGTGGTGTTAGAATACAACGGTTTGTTAAGAACACTAAAGTGTTCTTTTAAATGGATCAAATTGATATATCATATAATGAAACCGTTTGAGTGACAGTTGTGGGTGTGGCCAGTACAAATATCAAATGCTAAATATAAAAAATAAAAATAAAATGAGTCATGCAGTTAAACTGCAGGGACAGTATCCTTGCATCATAACCACTCTAGTAACTCAAAGTTGTATTGGTGCTTAGAATGATACTTTCACAGTTGTAAAAATCAAATTCTGTACTTATCCAGTATAAAACAAACTGTATACAAACTATAATCATAAACTTCAAACATTTTATTTTTCATGGGATGTTTCCCAGAGCATCTTTGAAAGCGGTTAAGGTGGTTTCTAGATAAATATCCGTAAGATGTCCAGTTAGAATTACAAGCATGAACACAATTGCTTATTTAGAGGATCTCTAATCTCTCAGAAGATCACTGTAATAAAGTTTCCATTTGTGGCAAACAGTAGCAGAATAATAACCATAGAACACCGAGTCAGCCTGTGACTAAAGACATACAGCAAAGAAGTCATTATTACTCGGTAACCATTTAAATTTAGCAATATTAAAAGGAAACAAGAATTCGGCCCTGTTACAATGAAATATCAAGATCATTTACCATGGCTCCCAGAGTAAGAAATAGAAAAAATAAAAAGCCACATATATTAAGATAAACATCTTCATAAAGCACTTAATGTGGAAATAGGTAGGGTTAGTCCTTAAAGGGTTACGTTCATATATCATTGGTTTGAGATAGAGTAACCTGTGCCATGGTGTTCTATATGCCCCCTCCCCTCCCAATGAACAAAATAAAAATAAATTCTCTTTCCCAGTGCCAAGGCCTCCCTGCAGTTCAAACTTCCACAGTTGACTTCACTCTGCCTTTACAGGAGTGATATCAGACCAACTACAGATTGAGTATATTCAGTATTCAGAATCTCATAAACAAACTCTTCTGCACAACTGAACCCATGCCCGGCCCCTGCCCCCCTTATTAACAATATTATGTTACACAAGCTAAAGCACATTGGAAGCCATACTACAAGTTAAAATGGTGGAAGAAGCAAACACAAAAAAAAGTAAAAAGGAAGCCATCAATGGCTGCAACCAGATTTCTGAGAAGGCAGGTTGAAAAACCCACAAGTGACTGTAAATGACGTGCACCAGTACCTGGTGGAAACAGGCACCGAGGTTTCAGTGAACACAGTAAGACGCGTACTAAACTCTGAACATTTTAATGCCAGAACTCCAAGACATACACCACTACTGACCCATAAGCACCAAAAAAAGCTGTCTCCAGTTTGCTCAAAATCATATAAATAAGTCACATATGATTTGAGATGTTTTGTGGAGCGATGAAACAAAACTGAAACGTTTTGGTCCAAAGGACCTGCAGTATGTTGGAGGAATAAGAATGAAGCATACGCTGAAATGAACACTCTGCTTACAGTTAAGCATGGTGGAGACTCGGTAATGCTCTGGGACTGCTTTGCATCTTATGGCACTGAATACCTACAGTGTGTTTCAAGATGGACTCTGAAGTATCAGAAAATCATAAGAGATTACGTCATGCCATCAATAAGAAAGCTGAAGTGTGGGCGTCATTGGACCTTCCAACAAGACAATGATCCCAAGCATAGCTCAAATTCCATCACGGCTTAGTTGCAGAAATAGTGGAAAATTTTACAGTGGCCATCACGTAAACCTCATAGAAAATCTCTGGTGGGATTTAAAGGTGGTTGCATCACGCAAACCCATGAATATTACTGAACTGGAGGCCATTGCTCATGACCAATAGGCTAAGATTCCTCAGGAACCCAACCAGAAGCTATGCATCTCATTTGCAGTAGGTCTTTACAGAAAAAGGGATGCTCTACTAAGTACTAAAGATGCTTGCCAAGAAGGAGTTGAATAATTTTGAGACTGGAGACGTCATTATAAGTTGCATTTTCAGTTACATTTGGGAAGCATTAGTTGTGTTTAGCTATTTCAATTGCCTTTGTTTGATTTGTTCATTGGAAACAGCAAATTTTTTAAAATGTTGACAAACTCCATTTTCACTGGGCGTTGAATAATTTTGATTATAACAAAACGTTACTGACATTTCCAATCCTATGGTTAAATCTTTTACATAAGAGGTGGTTTAAACAGTCAGTCAAAGCTCTATGACCACTAAAGTTATTTTACCTGTCTGCTGCCAGGGTTGTAACTCCACCTCCTCACTGTGGCGCAATTAGCAAGCCCAAAACAAGACTTTCAGGCTGGCTAATGTGAATTCTGTGCCTGTTGGACATTGACATCAGTATGCTGGCGACAGGTATTCAATAGCGGCCATCCCTATGTGCTGCCTAGGTCCTCCCATCAGCCGGTCCTCCACTGAAGGGG